AGAGATATGAAGAAGAAGAAGAGAGAAGAATGAGAGAGAAGAGAGAGAGAGAGGTGAGAGGGCAAGAGAGAGAGCGAGAGAGAGAAGAGAAGAAGAAGAAGAACAAGAATGAACAACAATGAGAAGAAGAGAGAGAGAAGAGAGAAAAGCGAGGCGAGAAGAGAGAGAGAGAGGCGAGAGAACGAGAGAGAGAGAAGAGAGGCGAGAGAAGAGAGAGAAGAAATGATCGAGGCAGGCGAAGAGAGAGAAGAAGAGAGACGAGAGAAGGCAAGAAGAGAGAGAAGCAGATCTGAAGAGAGACAGAGAGATGAAGGACAACAGAGGCGAGAGAAGGAAGAGAGAGTGAGCAGGAAGAGAGCTGAGAGAAGAGAGAGAGAGAAGATGAGAGAAGAGAAGAAGAGAATAACAGAGAAGACAGACACGAGGTGAAGAGAAGAGAGAGAGGCGAGAGAGAAAGAAGAAGAGAAAGAGAAGAAGAGAGAGAGGAGGGGCGAAGAGAGAAGAGAGGTCGCAGAGAGAGAAGAGAAGAGAGAGAGAGAAGAGAGAGAGAGACGCAGAAGAGAATGAGAGAGAGAGAAGAGAAGAGACAGAGAGGAGAGGCAGAGAGAGCAAGAATGATGAATGCACAGAAGAAGAGAAGAAAACAGCGCCAGAGATTAGTGAGAGAGAAGAGAGAGACGGTGAGAGAGAAGAGAGAGGCGAGAAGAGCAGACAGAGGAGAGAATGAGAGCAGCAGAGAGAGGTGGAGCAGAGCGAGAGAAGATGAGAACGGGTGGAGGAGAGAGAGACAGACGAGGGCGAATAGAACAGGAAAGAGAAGAGAGAGGCAGAGAGTGCTGAAGATGAAAGAGCGGCAAGAGAGGGGAGAAGAAGACAGAGAGGAGATGAAGAGCATGAGAGAGAGAGAGCGAGAGAAGAGAGAAGAAGAAGAGAGAGAAGAGAAGAAAAGAGAACAAGAACAGAAGAGACGAAGAGCAGAGAAGAGCGAGAGAGAGAGAGAGAGGAGACGCGAGAAAGAGGCAGAGAGAAGAGAGAGAGAGGCAGAGAGAGAGAAGAACGAGAGAACGACGAACAAGAGAAGGCGTGAGGAAGAGAGGAAGAGAGCTGACAGAAGCGAGAACAGAAGGCGAGCGCCAGCAGACATGAGAGAGAGAGAGAAGAGAGCGAGCCGCTTGCCAGCCCCGTGGGACGGCAAAGAAAGAAAGAAAGAAAGAAAGAAAGAAAGAAAGAAAGAAAGAAAAGGAAGGAGAGGAAAAAAGAAAGGGAGAGAGAGAACAAGGAGAGAAGGAAAGACAGAAGGAGGAAATTATGCAAGGGCTCCAACGTGTGTGCCCCTTTATTCTTCTTATTAAAGACTCTACATCCCGTTTTGTTGTATCTGAAGCTATGGGGAGGAGAAGGAGGGAGGAAGTGGCTAATATTAAACAGTCTGCCCACATATGAGGTAATGGTCTGACTCCTGTTAATGCCTTTCTCCTGTTTCTGTCAGATCTCACTTTTTTGGTACTTCACCAGCTTTCTATATACCTCATACCACAGTAGATCTCTGGCATTTATCAGCAACCCTCTCTTGGAGAAAAAGAGTGTGATGAGGTCTTGAGCTAATGACACCTGATGAAAAAATGAAAAAAAAATTTCTCTGAAAGTGACAAAACAGTTCACCTGCACACTACCCAAGCACATAATGAAAACACTTATAATTCCCTTAAACCCGGGTTCATTTGGCTTTATGTGATAGACAACTATATAGTAAAAGAATAGTTTTGAGGCAAGTAGTCAGTTCACCAGTTGGTGCCAACTCCTCTTTTTATTTCCATTATCCAGGTACAATAATAAAAAAACATATTTCTAGGGAATTTTTGAGTTTTCAGGGCACTTTGATTACATTTTCTAATTTGCTTTATAGAGCAATTCTCCAAGGGAAGCAAGACAACATTATTGGCCCACATGTATGAGACAAAGAACAACAGAAATAACTTGATGAAATGAAAACATTTACATTTTTTGGAGATTCAGACACCAGAGTCAGTCCCAGACAATACTGTGACTTTGAATAAGTAGGATATAATGCGTAATCTTCCTGTTCACTTTTTCATTTATAAAAATGGAAAAAATCCTCCTGTGTTGACTGTTATGAAGTATAATTAAACATATGTCAAAGAGCTATTTCGAAATAATTTTATTTCTGATACTTAAAAATCCTCCTCAAAGAGGAAGTAGGTAGATCAGGTTTCAAAGTTCAGACTTTCTGCTTCCTATTCAGGTATTTGTTTCCTCCAAGCAGCCTACCCTAGACAGATTAATGGTGCTCACATCCACGCCAGTGGTTGACTTTTCCCCTAAATAGTTGCAGCCTGAACATCCTAAAGATGCCTTTGCCTCCCCAAGGATGCTGATTCTGAGTAAGACACAGTCTCTCTCCACGTGGGCTCTCCCTGCGGGATTGAGGAGATAGACAAGTAAATAAGTCATTGCTAATCATCACCGTGGAAGCCCTATCACCAGGCAGCCCTCTGTATGGGTCAACTAGATGGTGGCAGTGAGACGGCCTTACGTCCACCTTCTGGTGACCAAGTGTCTTTTGCATCATCTTGTCACCTCACTGTTCAGCATCCACCAACAGTTCTGAGAGGAGCTGAAAATCAACTCCAAAGCCTCTCCCTACCGCTGTCTGACAAAAGTCAAACACAAATTCACTTGAACAGCAACATTTTTCTTTACATTCATTTCAAATAGCGGTCTTAAATGGCTCCTTAGCGAAAGCTTAACATTACCAAATAACTCTGTCATGTAATTTTCCTTTTTTTAATTTTTAGTTTTTGCGGGTCCATAGTAGTTGTATCGTCATACAGTTTTCAACTACGATTTCTCAGAAGACAGGGAAATTATTTATACCTGAATGCCTCATATTATCCGCCTACAAGAGCCAGAAATATTTCCGAAAGGAACCAAAATAATTTACTATAAACCATCTTAGCTTTCACCACCCAACACTGTAGTTAGTTATTTAATAAAGTCAGTTCAGCAGGAATATTACAGATGTGTATTTGTTTATTGCTTTTCTTTCAAAGTAGGATCAGGGTAATTTCTTTGAATTAGAATCTGTCTGTTGGAGTTCGCTTTCTAACAAAGAATGCACATAAATGATGCGCATGATGGGTGATTGTGATTTTCGTTTCAGATTTTTTTATATTCTTTTTTTTCCCCTTTGAATGGAGAGAGAACTTAGAGCACTTGTAAATCAATCTAGAGTAGACAAGTTGGGAAAAACCTACAACTGACTTTTGGTAAGGGATCACTCAACAGTGAGAATAGATTAAAAAAAAAAAAAATAGCACCTGGGCTAGGCACAGTGGCTCACACCCGTAATCCTAGCACTTTGGGAGGCCAGGGCGGGTGGATCATGAGGTCAGGAATTTGAGACCAGCCTGGCCAACATGGTGAAACCCCATCTCTACTAAAAATATAAAAATTAGCCAGGCGTGGTGGCGCGCACCTGTAATCCCAGCTACTCGGGAGGCTGAGGCAGGAGAATCACTTGAACCAGGGAGGTGGAGGTCGCAGTGAGCTGAGATCATGTCACTGCACTCCAGTCTGGGTGACAGACAGAGTGAGACTCTGTCTCAAAAATAAAAAAATAAATAATATAATATATGTATCAGCCTGCTAGTTAGAAGTACTCAGCATTTCATGAGCATCAGTTAACATGTGTTTTCAAAAGAAATGAGGAATGTTGGTCAATCAAGGAGTAACTTAAATGAAGATGGGTTAAGAAAGTTTCCACCGTAGATCCTGTGTCTATTAATAATTCTAGGGCATCTCTCAAAAAGCATTTAAGAACTGTACAGTCAACAGCACTTACATTGTCTCTATCAAATGTCAATGTCTCAAGCAAAATCAGAGCTACATTCTCTGATGAGACTTTAAGCACTAATATTTGTTACTGTTGCTTGCAGTGAGGTCCTCATGTTTAAGACACCAGAGCCTACCTGGCACATGTGCACTTGCTCAGTGAAGGGACATATTTCTCTAGTTGCCAGATGGCAGGTTTGCTTTGGACTAGTTTCTAAAAAGAAAAGAAAAAAAAAAGAAAGAAAGAAAAGAAAGAAAAAATACAGTTTTTTTGAATATTCTCATGCACTTTGGAAAGTACTGGGATATGATCTCAGAATTCTGAGCCATGAAGCACAAAATAGGACATTTTTATCCTGAAAAATGTAACAATATGTATGTGTCATTTTGATCCCATCAACTCTGCATGATCCCCTTAGAGTCTGGAATGTAGGCTTCTGAAGAGAAAGATCTTCATTCTAAAGAAGAATGATCCTACAAGGATACAACTCAAATTATGTTTAGGTCAAGCATGATGCAATTCTTGTCCACATCACAGAAAATCGCTCTCTGCCATACTATCAGTTACACTTCTATGCCACTAAATATTTGGAATATATTTGCCATCTGAGAGATGGTATACAGTCCAACACTGGATTTAAAATCTTAAGCATACATATGCAGTTAGTCCTATTTATCTGCATGTGGCATATGCTGATAAACTTCACTTTTAGCCCTGGATTTGGGATCTGCTCTGACTGTTCCTTTATTTATCATTTGGGGTCTTTTATTCATATATTTGCATTCTTTTTACTGGCCGGGCGTGGTGGCTCATGCTTGTAGTCCCAGAACTTTGGTAGGTCGAGGAGGGTGGATCACTTGAGGTCAGGAGTTCGAGACCAGCCTTGCCAACATGGTAAAATCCCGTCTTTGCTAATAATACAATAATTAGCCGGGCATGGTAGTGCACACATGCAATCCTAGCTACTCGGGAGGCTGAGGCAGGAGAATCGCTTGAACCTAGAGGCGGAGGTTGCAGTGAGCCGAGATCACACCATTGCACTCCAGCCTGGGTGACAAAGCAAGACTCCGTCTCAAAAAAAAAAAAAAAAAATTACATGTGAACCATGTGACTAATGCTTCTCATGCATCTCTTTTTGCTTCTGCAGGAGGGATTTTTGAAACAGTGGAAAATGAGCCTGTTAATGTTGAAGAATTAGCTTTCAAGTTTGCAGTCACCAGCATTAACAGAAACCGAACCCTGATGCCTAACACCACATTAACCTATGACATCCAGAGAATTAACCTTTTTGATAGTTTTGAAGCCTCACGGAGAGGTAACTATTTTCCCACTTTTAAAAGCTTCTTTGGGTGATGTGTCTGCTCTCCAAGTCACCTTCTTTTTGCTACCTGCCCTCTTTTAAAGCAGACATCTTTGTGCAAATGGGTTGCGGGAAATCTGGGTCTTCGATGTCACTGATCAATGCAATCTGAACTAACCTAATGGACACTGCCGAGCACTGTTTTCTGGGCCTTTCTGATGAGCTTACCCTTCAGTGCCCTCCACTCTATGATTAACTAGTTCAGCTGTGAATGGAAAATGTCAAGCTTGATCTGTTTTTCTTTCCTGAAGCTGAGATACCACCATGAAATCGTGCGGTGCAGTCAAATAAAACATTGCGGAAGGTCACATCCACTGAGCATGTGGAAATGCCCAGGACACACATAACTGACACCCTGAATTTTAACAGGTTGTAAACTACTGAGTTTACCTAGCATCCTCTCAACTTTTTTTTACTCTTTTCCACAAAATCATAGAAATATGAAGATTAACCCTGTGAGAGCAATGTCTGTATCTGATCCACTTTTTCTTCTGAACTGAAGCCAAGTGCCTAGCCTAAAAAATAATCTGATTCATATGTCAGCTGCGAGGTTTCTCTCACAGAAAGATTCATTCGGAATAGCGGGGTTTGTTTAGACATCTTCTGGACAATTCTAGGACAAGTCTTTGAAGTAAGACCACATTCTATGTAGTTGAGGGTTGGCTTCTGACAGGGACACTATCAAGTCACTAAATAAATGTGCTTATGTGAAAACAAAGGCTACTCATCACCCCAGATTAGGAGAGGTTCTTTGCCTCGGAGGGGAATCCTTGCTTGCTAAATACACACAAATACATGAAATACAATGAACACCATGTTTATGCTGATTTCCAGGTAACTAAATGCTGGTTGTTTCCATATAGAATTAATCTAGTTAGATCACAGGTTGTGTCCACCTGACACAGCCTTCTGCAAGAATCCCAGTGTTCTTTGCAAACAAAATATAAAACTTATTTTCTTAGGAGCACAGATAAAAAATTAACAACATAGCAGGACGCGGTGGCTCATGCCTGTAATCCCAGCACTTTGGGATTTATTTTTGGGAGGCCGAGGCGGGTGGTTAACGAGGTCAGGAGATCGAGACCATCCTGGCTAACATGGTGAAACCCCGTCTCTACTAAATACACACACACACACACACACAAAATAGCCGGGCGTGGTGGCAGCTGCCTGTGGTCCCAGCTACTTGGGAGGCTGAGGCAGGAGAATAGCGTGAACCCGGGAGGTGGAGCTTGCAGTGAGCTGAGATTGCGCCACTGCACCCGAGTCTGGGTGACACAGTGAGACTCTGTCTCAAAAACAAAACAAAACAAAACAAAAATTAACAACATAATCTTTTTATATCTATGGCATGACTTAAGTATAAAAATATTTTCTTTTTCAAGATGGGTAGACTTTGAGATACCCTATAGGTCAAAATTGTCTATGGACAAATAATGAAACTGTATATTTATACAGAATTTTAAAGTTTCCAAGCTATCCTCACATAAATTATCTCTATAATGTAGAGACAGATCTACCACTTTTCTTTCTTTCGTCTCTCTCTCTCTCTTACACACACACACCTATGCAAACAGACACAAACACTCATACACATTGTTGAGCAAATACTGTAGAAAGCCAACCACATTTAGCAATGAAGCTCGAAGCCACATAAAAATTGAAAGCTTTCCTGTGATCTGAAGTACCTGGCATACTTGTCAATTAAACACCCCCAGAGCTTCTTTAAACTGGTAATTTGCTGGCAAACAGAACTCAAAAGGATTGATTTTCTGTCAAGTAATATTAGTATCCCAGAGCTAAATATTAACAGGAATCTCAATCCATTGCTTATGCTGGATAGAACAACAGTTCACACACTCCCATACTCTCATTTTATCTGGCTAAATAATGAAAACATACCCAGAAAATAAGCTTCTGAAGACAATGACAATTTACACTTCCAGCACATAATGCATAAAACTGTACATCTTCATTGTTCATGCAGTAATTCACCACCAAAGAGCAGAGTACCAGAAAGTTTTCCTTGTAAACATATGCTGTTCCATAGATCCCTGCAATATAGCTGTCAAAGCTGTATCAGTGATTCTGTCTGAATTATGTCAGGTAGCTACAGAGCCATATCATTTTTCTATTTTTATTTGCAGAATGATATTATTAAATACAATTGATGCATTAATTTAGCTAATTTGATATTTAATTATCTGATGACAGTTCTAAATTTGTAGAGTTAAAATACAAATTTGAAAGTGTGTTTAAGCTTTTATTTAATTCCTACCAACACAAGATTAATAGGCACTATACATGGTTGTAGAGGGCAAACTGCCCCAACCTTTCTGGAAGAGCATTTGGTTAATATGTTTCAAATGACTTCAAACTATCTATACCCCTTCATTATAACTGGTGACTTAACTTCTGGAAATCTACTCTTAGAAAGTAGCATAAGATGCAGAGAAAAATATAAGAGCTAAGGTAAGTGTTATAACATTATTTAGAATAGCCAAAACTTAGGAGCAGCTTAAATGTTTTGGGGGATGTTTGTTTGCTTTTTGAAACAGAGTCTCACTCTGTCACCCCAGCTGGAGTTCAGTGGTGCCCTCTCAGTCCACTACAACTTCTGCCTCCCGGGTTCAAGCAATTCTTGTGCCTCAGCCACCCAAGTACTTGGGACTATAGGTGCACACCACCAGACCCGGCTAATTTTTGTATTTTTAGTAGAGATGGGGTTTCACCATGATGGCCAGGCAAGTCTCGAATTCCTGACCTCAAGTGATCTGCCTGCCTCAGCCTCCCAAAGTGCTGAGATTACAGGCATGAGCCAAATGTTTTATATTGTAGGAATGCTTAAATAAATGATGACACACCTATTCAATGGTCTATTCTACAGACACTAAAAATATACTTTAGGAGAATTTGTAATGACTTGAAAGAAAAGACACGCTATGGTGTTGAACAAAGAAAGCAATGCATCAGACTGTATTTATATAATGATTCTAATTTTCTCAAATATTAATAGATATTTTTCCAAAATGATAGGATTAATCACAGGGCCTTTTTATCCCTACATTTTAAATATTCTAAATTCTCTCAGTGAGTGCTTATATTCTTATAATGAGAAAAATACATTTACGTTATAAGTAAATTTTTCAACAGATACTGACTTGATTTATTTAGGCTACCTGTCCGCCGACACTGGGGTAGAAAGAGGCCTGACGTTGAGCTGAAGCTCCCGTCCAGTGGCCATGACTGTGTCCATTGTCTATGAAATGAGTGGGTTGGACAAAATGTCTTCTAAGATCCCTTTAGGCTATGCTATCTCATTATTTGAAAATTAGTTAGACATCAGCACTGCTTATGAACATTCTTTAGCAGTATTTCATTAAGCTGGAACTTCTTTCTGAGTTTTGGAAAGGTAGGAGCTAAAGCACTTTGGGGTAACCAGAGGTTCTGTCTTCTGAATTTTGTAACCACATTAATGTTTTCAATGCTGCCCTGCTGCATGACAGAACTTAATTCATACAACATTCATTTGGCAAAGGGCTTGTTGGTAACTAGAAGTGCTTTCAGGTAACACCATACGAAGCAAGGGATTTAGACTCCATCTGATTAAAGGTAATAAAGTGAGACCAGCACGGAGTTGGTCTTGTGGTATATTGTTAATCAGTTCTAAGTTTACATCTATCATCATATTAGTAGCTCAACAAAGTTGGAAGTTGGACCAAGTATATTTCCTCAATATAGGGATTGTAAAAGATTTTTCAATCGTTGCATTAAAAAGAGGAATCATGAATGAAAAAATTAAACTCATAGAACTCTCTTTTTCTCTCCCCCTTTCCCTGCCTTCCCTCCCCATCCTCTCCTCGTCCTTGGGCATCAGCATGTGACCAGCTGGCTCTTGGTGTAGCTGCTCTCTTCGGCCCTTCCCATAGCTCCTCCGTCAGTGCTGTGCAGTCTATTTGCAATGCTCTCGAAGTTCCACACATACAGACCCGCTGGAAACACCCCTCGGTGGACAACAAAGATTTGTTTTACATCAACCTTTACCCAGATTATGCAGCTATCAGCAGGGCGATTCTGGATCTGGTCCTCTATTACAACTGGAAAACAGTGACCGTGGTGTATGAAGACAGCACAGGTATGGGACTCACCCAAGACCTCACCTGACCGTGTCTGCTCTGAACAAAGAGAACGAAAGTATCAACTAGTCATTAAACTCATCAGGTGGAGCACACAAAAATGCTCTTTTATATAAAGCTAACTGAATATTCTAAAGTAATTTAACAATGCATATGTATATAATTCACATTTATTTTTGTTTGTTGATCCTTTCTAATGACCCTTTTATCATCAAATACAGAGGAACATTTTTTAAAAAAGAAATATCACCTTATTGGGATGTGTTATAATCCAATCACAATATTAAATACGTATTTTCATTTTCCCAGCTCTAATAAGACTATGACCACAATTGAAAATGACCATGAAATGTGATTCCAACTTGATAAGTAGCTATGTAAATGTTTAGAAAAGTTTCTAAGTAAGTTAACAAAGAGGAATTCATTTAGAGGTTGTAGCAATAGAGTGGATTATTTCATGGGAAAGGGACTATGAATCCACAGTGATGAGGGCTGAGTAAAGCTTGCATTCTCCACGTGCCTGTTTAGGGTGCAGGATGGAAATATGGCTGCTTGGAGTCCAGTCCTCATCAGCCACTTTCTCTGACCCAACCCCATTTGAACTTTACTTTACTGGCACCTCCCCTTTGCTTTCTGCTTATTGTTCAGGCCCCTTTTTATTTAAAGTCGGGCAGTGACCCTCTATTGTCCACATAATAAAGCTGAATTCCTTCTAATTCAAAACTCTTCATCATCCAGCCATTTTCATTTTCATTAACCCAGGCACTAGCTTCCCTCATTGCCTATACTCTCACATGAGTTATGATGGAAAGTTTATCTTTTCTTCAATATCCCCACATTCTCCTGACTCCTGTTTTCTGAGGCTGGCCCCTCACTTTGTACGATCCTTTGCACGACCTTCATGGTGATGAACTCCCCCATTCTCCACGACCGCACGCACATTTCCCTCTTCCTTAAAGCTCCCTGAGACTACCGGAGGGTTCACTAGCACTTTGGAAGCAAAAACACTGAATCCCAAGTTATATTTCAAATATCTGTTTACATGTCTGTAAGACTGGAAATTTCTAAGCATCTGAATTTTATCTTATTTTTATGTTTATAACCTGCTACCTGTTGTAAGCCTGACATAGAGGAAAGAGTTTAGTAATTCCACATGGATAGAATAATACCATTGATTGTCTGATTTTTTTTTTTTCTCCAAGAGTTGAAATGAGTTGCTTTCTTTGATCTACACATTTGGTAATAAGGCTACAAAAATTACAAGTGAAAATTAGTAAAGTGAAACACTGTCAAACTTTGCAATACGATTTCACTTTTCACTGCCCCTTTCACCAAGCACTAGCACTTACTATTCCTCAAAGGATGAATACGTGCCTCCTCTTTGGTGTCAAACTCTGGTTCCATTTTATACTGTCAGATAAAAGTGACGAGTGTGGTTGGAAATATGCACTTATGTATTTTCTTGTGCCTCATCTCATTTAGAAAGAAGTGAAGATTCTAAGTGACTGGGTATATATTTTATAAATATTGTATTTGAAACAGTCCTATCAAGAAGAATAAGCTACAAGCAGCCATAGTTTTAGAACTTTACCTGCTTGCTCTGAAGGAAGAAATCATTATCTAATCAAATCTACACGGATATTTTAAAGGGTTTTGAAAAAGAATATCACGTTGTAAACACAAGTGTGGTTAGATCTTGCATGTTGCCTACTTTTGCTAAACAGGAAATTTCATGAGCTCATAAAATCAAGCTACATCTCATTACGTTGTGATCTCTGTAGTATAATCATCTCTCACCATTTCTACAGCAAAGTTGGAACATCTAAAATGAAAACATATCAATGAATAATATTGAAACTCCTGGATTTAACTTAAGAAAGAGGTCAACTAAAGATGTGGGCATTGTAGATTTCAAATTGTATTTAGACAAAATATAATTAGTAAGTAAATGACAGAAAACTTGATATTCTAACCACTCTCTGACATCAGGTGAGCCACACATATGTGACATCCATTTTGCAAAGCAAACACCAAGCTATCATTTCCATCATCTTCCACAAGAAACTGAAATGTCCTTTTCATCTTTGTCAAGTTCACCCGTGCTCAGTGACACAATAAATACTTGTTGAAATCGACAATCCAAAATGATTTGATATGTCACCCCTTAAGTGAGAGATGATTCATGTTAAAATGATTTTTGCCCACAAAGACATTAAAAATGTAGATGAATAATCAATTGAGCCATTAAATTGGAACCCAGAGAATGAACAGGTCAACTGAGATCAATAAAAGCAGAAGCCTTGTGACTCTGAGTGGATTTTATACTGCTTGACTCAGGGTTCTTGCCTGTAGTGATTATCACACCATCAAAAGGAGGAAACTTAGTAAACCTGAAAGAAAAGAAAGGACTTAGGTGTGCTTAGCACCCGCCCCTACACCAGAATTAAGTACCCATTAAAGAGCACTTTACTGGGATTTGTTTAGGAGTTTGTTAAATAGCCTGAAGCCAACACAGATGTCGAGGGACCAAATGGCCCATTACTCCCATTGAAGTAAATGGGAGCAGTGTGCACGTCTCTAAGGACAAAATTCAATTCGCTAAATACTAGCAAGCAGAATTCTGTCCTCTAGAAGTTAAAATGTCGAAAGACTCTGGAGAACTCTTAGGAGGAGTAAAGTTTTGTCTTGCCTCATCTCTCTTCCCTCTCTTTTCTGGATGTCCTTCCCGTTAGTCACCCACTTGTCGCTGATTCCCACACCCAGAGGCGACCCCAGGCAATGAGAAATTGCTGCCCATTTGAACTCCTCTCATGATTCATTAGACCCTGGTGGAAACCTGGTTATCACTTGACACACAGCAAAAAGAGCTGAGAAGCTGAGCCTCAACTGCAGTGTGCAGCATATTCAGCAGTTTCTGCCTTCTCAAAGCCAATCTCAGGGAAATGCATCCACAGCCATTCCTGGAGAGTTGGGATCAGCAAACTTTTTCTGTGAAGAGCCAAGTGCTGAGGCTTTATGGCCATGGGGGTCTTGGTCAAAACTACTCCACTCTGACAAAGTAGCAAGCAAGCACACGAATAATATGTAAATGAATAGTCCCAGCGTGTTCCGATAAACCATAAAGGTTGTAAAAATATATGCTGGGCTAGGTTTGGCCTTTTGGCTCTAATTTGTCCCTACTATAGCCTTAAAAGATAAGACAATTGAGCTAAAAACTAAGATTGTAATTTTGGACACATGTGAAGTGGGTTCAGCTCACGTCCACAACTTCTTCACTTTGGTGTCTGGGTTTTCATGCTCTTCTTTCCTCCTCACTGGCCCTCCTGGCTTCCTCATCAATACGTGTCAGTGCCATGTCTTGTTATCTCTGTGGGATTTGCCAGGTGATAGTCTGGTTCATTGGATAAACAAATTTTCAAAGAGGTGTTGGGGGAACAGATACCTTTCCTCACCCATCATAATGATCACAACTGACATTCCTGTAACAAAAGACAGGTTAACAAGAGAAAATCATAGCAAATTTGTTTAATCAAAGTTTTACCTGACTCAGGAGGCTTCAGAAATGAAGACCAAAGACCTAGGGAAAACTGTCTATTTCTATGCTTAGATTCAATGACGAATGAACAACATGTGGAAATGTGATTGGACAATGAGGGGAAAAGCCCAACAAGGCCTGTGTGTTTGGATTCTTCTTAGCCTCTCTGTGCAGTATTCCTTCCTCCTGAGTATGGGGCAGGACCCCTGTGAAATGAGAGTCTTCAAGGGAAAAGAGAATCTTTCTAGATTTTATATCTTGCTTTGGGGGAGAGGAGTTCTAGTTTCTATGCTTCACTTGGGGAAGGGAAATTCTACTTTCTATGACTCACTTCAGGGTTTTAAAAGGGGTATGATGCTGGGGGTTAGGAGAAAGTCAGAAAGACCTTGTTTCTGAGAGCTTTCCAGTCTTTTTCAGTTCAAAGTAGTCAGCATGCCAAGGTGCTATATTTTGGGGTGTCATGTTCTGAGCCCCAACAGTGTTAATGGCTAGTAATGACTTAAAATGCTGTTTCTTACTTTAAACTAATTATAGCACATTTTAAGTTTGGCTCTCTGAAAAGACAACAAAAGCATTGAATATTGCATGCCACAGAAAGTGGGATTTCAAAGTGTTTTCTTATGCTTGGTTAGGTGATTACGTACACAGTCAGCATAGAGAGCTGAATCCAAATAAGCAAGTGCTAATTCAAATTTCAGTGGCAAAACATTAAAAAACAAAACAAAACAAAACAAAACCACCTATTCTGCTTAGCTTTTATTTTGTGAAAGATTAAGAAAAACCTACTTTATAGTTTTGCCTGTCTCTCTTCTCTACTTTAACTTGTCCCTAACTAAACTGGCCCAAAGTTTATATTCATTTGGTTCAGGTGATATTTTCTGAAATACTGGGGAAAAGAGTCAAGACAACACATACCTGCATACTCTGTACTATGGCTGCCCTTTCCTGAGATCTAAATGGCTTCTGCAATATATTGTTTGAAAGTTTTATTTTTACATAGTTTAAAAAGAAGATTGCTTTCTTTAGAAAATGTTAAAATGAACAAAAGTGTAAGGACATAAACAAAAATATCCAGAAAAACTATCACAGATAATGTCTTAGTGTATATTCTTTTAGCTATTAGATAGGCAGGCAGGCAGACAGACAAGGAGATAAACACGTAGGCAGATAGATAAATAGATACATACATAATAGATAATAGGTCATGATAGGTAGATGATAGACAGATATTAATAGACAGATGATAGGTAGATGATAGACAGTAGGTAGATAAATGATGAATGATTGGTAGAGGATAGATGATAGAAAATAGATCATGATAGGTAGATACTAGGTTCGTGCAAAAGTAATTGCGTTTTTGCAGCTGGGCGCTGTGGCTCACGCCTGTAATTCCAGCACTTTGGGAGGCCGAGGCGGGCAGATCACGAGATCAGGAGATCGAGACCATCCTGGCTAACACGGTGA